AACATTACACTACCCTTGCCGAGCATGCACAAAGCCCTGGGTTCATAGTACAGGAAGAAGAGGAAGAAAGAGGAAAAGGAAGAGGAAGGAGGAGAAGAAGAAGAGGAAAAGTGGAGAAAAAAGAGCAAACTGGGCATAGAAGACATCTCTCCATTAGTTTTAACAACTACAAGTATATCTACTATTATCTCAGTAAAAATTTCAGTTAGAAACAATAGTAATTGAGCCAGGCGTGGTAGTGCACGCCTGTAATCCCAGCACTCGGGAGGCTGAGGCAGGAGGATCGCTGCGAGTTCAAGACCAGCCTGGGCTACAAAGTGAGCTCAAGGCCAGCGTGAACTGCATAGGGAGACCCTGTCTCAAAAAAACCACAATAGTAATTGTTCTGATATATATAGTTTAGCTGAACATTTTACTACTGCCATTTGCCCCTTCACAGCTGGCTACAGCTATCAAGTTTCTGCTTTGCATTATTACTGTCTAGTGGCAAGAGAAATATCTTATCTATGTGATAAAGCCACATTCTCTCACAAATAAAAGTATTGATAAAACTCAAACCAAACATTACTGGTAAAAAAACATGAAATGTATCTGAAGTTTAGGACACTAGACTTTATTATTCATCAGTGACTTTTCCCCATCACTCAAGTTTATTTACACTGTGGCCCACCAAGTGCTAGGCATGCATTTCAGCTCAATATCACTTTGCCTAAACTAGACAGCGCGGTTGCATCTCTTCCTCCTATTTCCGGCTTTACCCAAATAGAGCTCTCTTGCACCTGCGTCTCCATTATTGGGCAGAAGCACATAATAATGTGATTATTTTTTGTATGCCCCATAAAGAGGTAAAGTTAATTATAACAGAAAATTTAGAATGCATGGAGTGAAGAGAAAAGCTACCTTATCAAGACAATTGTGTTCCTGCGGAATTAAATGATAGGTTATTCACAGAGAGCAGATGACTCATGCTGACGCTTTCTGTTGAAATCAATTAGACTTACTTTTTAAAAATAGCTTTAACACCAGGAGATCATATAGTAACTGTCACTAATTTTTATTAAATTTAGAAAACGCCAGTAGGAGCTACAGAATACTTCTTAATATATATGGCATTTAAAACCATGTCAAAATGAGATCTTTTATAGACTTTTAGATATTTGCTCTGACAGATAGATGGGAAAGCGTTTGTAATTAGAAAATGATTTATGAACATATAGGGAGTAGCTTTTAAGAAATAATTTGAATCTAGGTATGATGGTGCAAGACTGTAATTCCAGCACTCACAAGGCTGAGCCAGGAGTGTGAGGTCAGACTGGCATAGTGAATTCAAGGCCAGCCTGAACTATGTAGTGAGACTTGGTTTCAAAAAACCAAAAATTAAAAATAATTTGAGAGCTGATACAATGGTAGACACCTGTAGTTGCAGCTACTTGGAAGGCTGAGGCAAGAAGATCACTTGAGTCCAGGGCTGGGGATTTAGCTCAGCAGCAAAAAGCGCCTACCTGGCAAGCGCAAGGTCGTGAGTTTGGTTCCCGGTACCAGAGAAAAACCAAAGAAAAAAATAATAATAATAAAAATAAAAAATAAAAAATAATTTAAAAAAAGATCACTTGAATCCAAGAGTTCAAGGCCTGCTTGGATAATATAGTGAGATCCTGGCTCAAAAATTAAATGTTTTTGCAAATAACTTACATATTTTCTTTAAATAAGGTACCTGAAATCTTTGACAATTTGGTTTAAAAGATTTTTAAAGAATTATGAATAAGCTGGGTGTGGTAGCACCCAGGAGGCTGAGGTAGGAGAATTGTTTCGAGTTTGAGGCCAGCCCCGGCTACAAAGCTCAAGGCCAGCCTGAACTGTGTAATGAAACCCTAAAAGACCGAAGAAAAAAAAAAAAAAGAATTATGCATAAATATTAAAATTTAACCTAATCCAAATTATCAAAACTCCCAAACTTATTTTATCTTATGTTTTATTTTATTGTCTTTTTGAGACAGGGTTTCATTATGAATTCACTCTGTAGCCCAGACTAGCCTTGAACTTGAAGTGATAGTCCTGCCTCAGTCTCCTGAGTGCTGGGATTACAGGCGTGTGCCACCACGCCCAGCTCCAAACTTCGTAAGTATTAATAATAGGTTATATTGTAGAGGAAAATGATGTTACTCATAAAACAACTTCAGGGATTTTTTTCAGGGATTGATGTCATATTTTTCTGCAAGAAATGACAAATGTAGAATGGGTGTGGTAGTACACGCCTGTAATCCCAGCATTGAAGGAAGCTGGGGTAGGGGATCACAGGTTTGAGTCCTGCCTGAGCAATGTTGTTTTGTGTTGTTTTGGCCTAAGCAATTTACCAAGAAAAGAGAAAAAATTTTAAAGGGCTGAGGATGTAGCTTAGTGGTAAAACACCCCTGGGTTTGATCCCCCAATACTGAAAAAGAAAAAAAAAAAAAAAAAAGACAAATACAAGAAATCTCTCCAAGGTGTAATAAAACTTGCTGTGACTATATAAACTACATTTAAACTTAAGCTCTATCCACCTCTCTATGCTTTTTTTTTTTTTTTTTTTCCTGGTACCGGGAACCAAACTCACGACCTTGCACTTGCCAGGCAGGCGCTGTGCCGCTGAGCTAAATCCCCAGCCCCCCACCTCTCTATGCTAAAAGAGGGAAAAGAGGTCAGGATATAGTTCAGTGGAAGAGTGCCTGCTTGGCAAGTGTGAGGTCATGAGTGCGATTCCCGGTACCAAAAATAAAATAAAATGAAAGACGGAAAGCACCAGCACAAACAAAATGGAAAGACACACACACACACACACACACACACACACACACACACACACACACACTGTGTGATCAAAACACAATGAATGGTAATTTTAAAAGTATTATAGTGAAAGACACACTGCCATTAGTCCCCTTCAGACTCCCCCGCTTCAAACACATTATCCCACTGTTTTCGCCACTTTCTGAAGCAGTTCTGGGAGTCCTCTTTTGTGAGGTCTTTTGTTGTTTGTGGCTGCCTCAGTGGTGAATCAGTTATGTTTCCCTTCGAAGAGCCAGAAGTCACACAGTGCCAGACCCGGTGACTACTAGAGGAAGAATGAATACTAGGGGAAGACACATGTAATGTTTTGTTTTTCTGTTTGTGTTTGTTTTTGTTTCGAGACAGGGTCTTGGCACGCAGTCCAGGCTGACCTCAAACTCCCTATATACTGCAGGCTGGTCTCAAATTTGAGGCGAACCTCCTGCCTCAGCCTCCCGAGTGCTGGGATTACAGGTGTGTGCTGCCACGCCCCATGATAATATTTTTACCAGCCTGCCTTACTGTTAGACGGCAGTTAGCAGCAGCATTCGCCATATTTGTTATCACAGCTCATAACGTTACTTACAAAAGAGAACTTCCAGAAATGCTTTAAAGTGACAGGAATTAAAAAAAAAAAAAAAGAAGTGACAGGAATGATGGTACAAGTGTGTTCAGAGAAAGGGGGAGGACTTTGATGGGGATTAAGAGCAATGTGCCTTGTACTGTGATGCATTTTTTAAAATTTAAACGTCTATATATTTGGATCATACCTTGTATTTGTCTAGGTATCTACTTAAATGAGTATTTGTATCTACTTAAATGAAACTTGGAAGCAGGCTATTGACATATGAGAACAGAAAAGAACTTTAATAAGGTCTGGGCAGAAAAGAGCCCAGTGTTACTGAGTTAAACATGTACCACCACCACCACATGTCTAAGTCCTAATCCTCAGTACCTTGAATGCAATTGTACTTAAGGACAGGGTATTTAAGTTACAATTGGGCTGGCCCTGACCCAACATGACTGACCTCCTTATAAGAAGAGGACAGCTGGACACAGACATGAAGGGAAGGCTGGGTGTGGTGGCGCACACCTGTAATCCCAGCACTCAGGAGGCTGAGACAGGAAGATTGTTGCAAGTTGGAGACCAGCCTGAGATACAAAGTGAGCTCAAGGCCAGCCTGAATTGCATAGTGAGAGCCTCTCTCAAAAAGACCAAAAAAAAAAAAAAAAAAAAAAGATATGAGGGGAAGACCATGAGCAAACTTAGGGAGAAAACTGCCATCCACAACCCAACCCTGCTGACACTTTGTCTCAGACTGTTGGCCTCACAACTGTGAGAATATAAACTTGTTCAGGCCACCAAGGCTGTGGTACTTTGTCCCAGCAGCCCTAGAAAAGAGATACAGCCTCTGTACATAGCTACTGATTCAAAGGGCTCATCACTGACCCCAAATGTAACCATTAAGTGCACTTTGTTTTATAAAGTAACCCTAAAATGTAGCCATGAACAACTACATCATAATGTCCTTAACGAGGTCGGTGGCCTGTGAGCTTCCAGCCATGGTTTCCTGCAAGACTGATTCTTGCAACAAATCCTGAGACTACTTAGGCTCAGCTGAAGAATCTCTACAAGCATTGTCTACTCTTCATCCCAGGGAGTAAAAGTAAAGGCATTTCCTACAAAATGTGCTTTCTGCCCTTTTGATCTATTGCTGCCGCTCAGGTGTTTTATCAAATATTAAATAAGACTAGGGGATATTTGCCAGTCGGTGGTATACTGAAAATAGCAACTCCTCCTTTTCATTAGGAATGGTTAGGGCTGGGTGGCAGAGTACTAGCTTAGCATGCACAAGGGTCTAGAGCCTTAGCACTGAAAAAAAAAAACCTGTTTAATAAATGTAACTGATTATTTCTATGACCTCAGTTTTGAGCACTTAAATGCACTTAACCCTGGGCCACCACAGCGAATGTCCCCTGCCAAAGACAGATGCGTGCCTAAATTAATGCTCCTTAGTGATAAAAGTTCAATATGGGGGGGGACAAAACTGGGTTAAAATGACCCCTTGAGCCTTTTATCAGAACATATCTGCCCCTGCTTTTACAGGGAATACAATTTCTCTGTGTTTTGTTTTCCTTCTTTGTGTGTGTGTGTGTGTGTGTGTGTGTGTGTTTTGTTTTCATTATTCATTTACCTCAGCTAAGAGAGTCTTGTTTTTCACCAGCAAACCAGTAAAGCTAGGATGGACTCGGTCAGCTGCCTTTGTCATGCTTGGGCTCCCATTGGGAACCGCTTCAAGAGGTGAATCAAAAGAAGCCTACAAAGAGAAATCGCCAATTAATTAACGAAGCACGCACCCTGTGGATCAGAACCCACTACGTTCCAGCCCACACAAACTCTTTTCAATGGCTTTAAAGAGGACACAGCTTTAAAACAGAAACCTAACAAATACAATAGCTCCTAGGAAAAGAGCAAGTAACATGCTTACCTACAAACCTACTTATTGTTTTCTAAAACACATTACTTACCAGACGACAATGTATAAGATAGCCATAAGTAAGTGCAGCACATCTAAACGGTGCAGATACAATTTTTGAGAGTACAGAAATCAAGAAAATGTATTAAATTTCTGGGAAAATTTTCATGTGTGTCTAACAAAAACTTTATAGGAACGTAAACTATTAAATTCATTAATAATCACTGACCAGAGGTCTACCAGTTCTTTTTTTGTTGTTTTATTTTTAGACAGGGTCTCATTAAGATGCTAAATTGTCCAGGCTGGGCTTGAACTTTAGGTCACTACTCCTGCCTCCCAGAGTGCTAAATCCTCAGGTGTGCACCGCCACCGCCAGCTTACCAGGGTAGTATGTTTCATTTTTGGTTACAAATAAGTTCCTATGCACACAATTATGTTTTTTAAAAGTCTGATTTCAGTAGTCAACATCCATTTTGTGGTTTTGCCACACCTATATTAAGGGTACACATTAGAGTGTACTTAGCTGTATTATGGGCTCTCTCGTGATATTAAAGAGGTTCCCAAACCGGGCATGGTGGTGCACACTTGTAATCCCAGCACTCAGGAGGCTGAGGTAGAAGGGTAGTGTGAGTTTGAGGCCAGCCTGGGCTACAAAGTGAGCTCAAGGTCAGCCTGCACTGCATAGCGAGACCCTGTCTCAATAAGACAAAAAAAAAAAAGGTTTCCAGTATTCTAAATTGTAATTAATGGAACTTTCAATAGGATAGCATTTATATGACTGAAATGAAACCATGAAAACTGTGGTAATTGGAATAACTAAAAATGTATTTAAAAACATATTATATGGCCCATTTAATGTACTAAAGGGCCGGGGATACAGCTCAGCGGCATAAGCACCCGCCTGGCAAGCACAATGTCCTGAGTTTGATACCTGGTACAAAAAAAATAATACTAAAGAAATGAAATATATTTTTTCTAAAATTATCAGAATTAATTTTGTGCCTACCAAGATACTACAAACAAAGATTTGCAAAAGAATACTAAATACCTATGCTCAAATGTTTTTTGTTTTGTTTTGTTTTGTTTTGTCTTTTTGAAACAGGGTCTCACTGTGCAGTTCAGGCTGGCCTTGAGCTCACTTTGTAGCTCAGGCTGACCTCGAACTCTCACCATCCTCCTTACCTCAGCCCAGGCTGGTCTCCAACTCACATTCAATATATGTAACGTATAAACAGCTTCTGATATATTGGTAGAATGGAATATTTCAAAAGGATGGAAATTATCTAAAAATTGCACATACATCAAAACAGTTCTCACTAAACAAAAGAATCGAGTCACAAAAGAATAAAACACTGTAATTCCATTCATATAATATTTTTTTGAGACAGGGTCTCGCTATGCAGTTCAGGCTGGCCTTGAGTTCACTATGTAACCTACACTGGCCTCAAACTCACAGCGATCCTCCTGCTTCTGCCTCCTGAATGCTGGGATTACAGGCATGTGCCACCACACCCGGTCACATAAATTTTTAAAACAGATAAAAATAAACAATATTGGTTAGGAGTACATAAATGGGCAGTAAAACTAAAAGGAAGCAAGAGAATAACGGATATAAAAGTTCAAAATATTTAGGGTTGAATTTTAGTTGGAAGAAAAGGATTCAGTCATGAAGGGGCACGTTGGAAGTTTCTAAGGTACTGGTAATGTTCTTTGAAGATAAGTGGTAGGTTGTCTAAAATGTGTGAGTGCATATATATTCTACAATCCCTTTATTATGACATTTTAATTTTATTTATGTATTTATTCTTTGGTGCTGGGAGCTGAACCCAAGCCCTGGTGCACAGTAAGCCCAGGCTCTACCACTGAGCTACATCTACTCCCTCTATTAAGACATTTTTAAGAATACGCCCCCACACAAACCAAATTTAGATACTTTTAAAGAAGCATATATATTCAAAGATATACATTGTATATATTAAATGAGACAGAAATGGAGGTAATGGAGGAAAACACAAGAGAGGCCTTGCCCAGAATGATGATAATATGCCACCAACTAAGGATGCTTAACTTGATAGTGTATCTGACATCTAGAACAGAAAGGTAAAGTGATCAAAATATGCTAAGTATCTTATTTAGTACACTGTAATAGCATTGATTTTAAACAGCAAACATAAATTATTTATTATATTAATATATAACTGGATAATATTTATTATATTCAGTCAGGCTTTTTATTTATAAAACTAAGACATACCCAGGTGGGTGTGGTGGTGCATACCTATAATCCCAGCATTCTTGGAGGCTAACACAGAAAGATTCAAAGTGTGAGCCCAGATTGGGCAACTTTGCATTTAGTGAGAGCCTCTCTCAAAATAAAACATTTTTTAAAGGGCTGGTGTATAGCTCAGTATGAAGGCCTTGAGTTCAATCCTCAATACCATCACAAGGAAAAAAAATCAACTGCAATTTATTTTGGTAGACAAGTACTTTCAAATATAGCTTGAAAAGTTTCTGTATTTCTGTTTGGTTTTTTTGGTGGGGGTACTGGGAATCGAATTCAGGACCTTGCACTTCCCAAGCAAGGTGCTGTGCCACATAGCTATATCCCCAGCTCCATATTTCATATTTATTTAAAATATATGGACAAGGAGGCATGCTGTATAAGGATACCTACTGCATCTTGTTTCTTCTTTTTTTTTTTTTTTTATCTTTTTGAGACAGGGTCTCGCTATGCAGTTCAGGCTGGCCTTGAGCTCACTTTGTAGCCCAGGTTGGTCTCGAACTCGCAATGATCCTCCTGCCTCAGCCTCCCAAGTGCTGGGATTACAGGTGTGAGCCACTACGCCTAGTGCATCTTGTTTATATAAGTAAATGTTTAAAAATTGTATTATATAAATATAGTCTGTAATGATACGTATATATATTTTTTGTTTTGCTTTTTGAGACAGGGTCTCACTATGTAGTTCAGGCTGGCCTTGAACTCACTATGTAGCCCAAGATGGCCTCAAACTCACAGTGATCTTCCTCCCTCACTTTCCCAAGTGCTGAGATTACAGCATATGCAACCACACTTGTTTTTTTTATTTTTTTTTAAACAAGGTCTCAATATGTAGTCCAGGCTGAATTTGAACTTGCTATGTAGCCCATGATGGCTTCAAACTCAAGATCTTCTTCCTGTCAGCCTCCCAAGTGCTGAGACTATGGGCATGGACAACCATTCTTGGCTGTTGTAATGATATTGATATAGCAGTTAACATGCATAGACTACATTTATGTGAATTAAAAAGAATAAGCCTCAAAAATACAACATTGAGTGCAAATAGTAAGAAAGTTATTATTTAGTAGAATACCATTTATAATAATTTTTATGAATGCCTAAAATTGCACTAGAGGCCTTGACATACATATTAAAAATATGAACATAGACCGGGCGTGGTGGCACACACCTGTAATCCCAGCAATCAAGAGGCTGAGGCAGGAGGATCCAAAGGAGTTTAAGGCCAGCCTGTGCCACATAGTGGGTTCAAGGTTAGCGTGAACTACATAGTGAGATCTTGCCTCAATAATTAATTAATTAATTAAATATGGACATAAAGGTTATATTTCTACTTCAGAATAATTGTTATCCTTGAAAAGGAAGAAAAAAAAATCCTGGGAAGTCAAATAATTCTTCCATTTTGGTTTGCAGTAGCAGCTACCCTAATATCCCCTCCCCCACTGGGTCCCTTCACCTCTCACAGTGGCGAATGCTTGGCAGCAGGGTATTCAGGGGTTGCCCAGTGCCAGGACTGGCAAGGTTTCTTACCAGCGGCTGCCTTCCCCTACCTGTTCAATTGTTTATATTGTCCATCTCAGCTGCACAGGGCAGATCAAAGGATGGGTGATACAGTCCCTGTACTTCTCAGTGTGCTTGAAATCAAATACAAAAATTAGGATATGGGGCGGGAGATGTAGCTCAGTGGCACAGGGCTGCCTGGAGCGCACAAGGCCCTAGGTACAATGCACAGCTCTGGGCCAAAAAAATGTACAAATATAACCCAAATGACTCTTAAAAATCATAAAATATCAGGATGTTATCAGATGGCAAAAACTGTGATTGTGCTATAATACAGTTAAATTTCAATCTAGATTTTCATACCTGTCTGGTCAGTCCAGAAGAAAACATAACATGTTACTCTTGTGTTTTTTGAGATAGGCCATATATATATATCTTTTTCTTTTTCTTGTTCTTTTCCCCTAGCAAAGAAACCAGGCTTCTCCTCATCTAAACCTACCAAGGGGAGCAAAGACAATATTTCCCCTAGGTCACCCTCCCTCTTTTGAAGCCCCACCTCAGACTCCATTTCCTAGCAGTTATAAGCTAAACTCTGGATGGATCTTTCTAGGGGTCTTACAGATATTAATGGAAGGAACATCATTTGATCCACAAACATAAGACTGCCCTAAGGTCTAGCCCATAAAACAAGTCTGTAAAGCACAAGGTAAACATGGTACACTTGGAAGGTATTGAGACTACTCAGTTCTCTCACTAAATCACCATGGCCTCGCTAGTGTTCACTTTCCTAATCGCAAAATAATAGGATTGGTTGAAATTAACTTAGAGACCCTTTTATAGGTATTCTTCAATGTTTTAGGGTAACGGGCATCAGTGAAATGTCAAAACTACCAAAAGGAGCAAAAAATGAACAAAATCCGTTTGAGGTTTCATTGGAGTCGGATGTTTCGTTGGTCCCTGTTCTACAGTCAAGCCAGGAATCAAAAGAAGTTAGGGGCAGGGGATGAAGAAAAGGATTCAGGTGTGTTGTGTACATGTTCCATGAGGGATGTAATCATTACGTATTGTAAACACGTTCTAATAAAAAAAGAAAATAAAGAAGTGGAAGATCTTTTGACCACAACTCTTGAATCGTTCATTCACGGATACATAAGGGCACTAGCATAGGCAAATCTGGAAGCAGAACTGGACTTTGCCTTTCTTCTAGCGCTCAGATGTATGGAGATTATTTTACTTCTCTCTGAGAATGGGAAAAAGTAAATACCAGAGTACAACTCACCACTGGGCTGTTCTTCCAAGCTGACAGACGCCTGACTTCTGATGGTATCGCCTCCTGGGCCCCTTTCACTTGGCCAGTAGCAAGCCTTCCTGGATCTGACTGGTTTGAAGACTGAACAAGGTTTGACATGCTGGAGATACAAGAAGCATGAAATAGATCTAATGGTGACCCAAGGTGCTTCCAACAGGAGTTGCCATGGAGCACGCAGGAAGAGATACTGAGGTCTGCTCAACGCCAAGAGAAATGTCTTCCAGAAGGTTCCACTGCAGGTCCGCGGTGTTTAGCCAGACCTCCGAAGGAGCTGCTGCTGAGCCTATCTCTTGGAGACAGGTGAGCCTGGTTTCTAACAATAGCATCAGACATTCTTTAGATTGTAACTGGTTCAAGTACAAGCACTCTATTATTTATAAATAAACTCATTGAAATGCTAATAGTGAATCACATCTTTGGGGTACTTGACAAATAAATTCCCTTATTTTCAATTTCTCACTCCATCAGGAATGCTAAACTATATCCCCCAAGATATAGCCAAAACATAAGCCAACCATGTGCTAATAATGTAGCACGAGATAGTTCATAGTGTTTTTTCCCCCCAATGGAAAATAAAATGTAACCTTGCAGTATAATTTTTATAAATTCATCTTCCCAAGGCCTTCAATATCACTATAAGCCTATTTTTCCTACCCAGTTTAATTCCATTTCCTTTCCTAAAGTAAAATTTTATTTTATTTTATTTTATTTTATTTATTTATTTTTATCTTTTTGAGACAGGGTCTCGCTATGCAGTTCAGGCTGGCCTTGAGCTCACTTTGTAGCCCAGGCTGGTCTCAAACTCGCAATGATCCTCCTGCCTCGGCCTCCCGAGTGCTGGGATTACAGGCGTGTGCCACCACGCCCAGGCCCCTAAAGTAAAATTTTAAAAAATAGAGGAAGCCTGGAGTTGTAGCTTAGTGGCAGAAGGTTTGCCTGGCATATGTGAGGCCCTGGGGTTCAGTCCTTCCGAAAGACAGCAACAAAAAGAGGTACGGCATCTTCCAGAATAATGACAGGATAAAGATTTCTTTCTTCTTAAGTGGTGTGTGTGTTTTCTTTGCTAAATAGTATCTTTTGGAAAACTGAACAGTCCAAGGATTAGAGGAATTTTCATAGGAGAAGAAAGAAAAAAGTCAAGACTATGTGATTTAAGCATCACAGAAGAGAAAGCATAAAGTCTTATCTTTCTGTAATAACCCTGAAAACTGTTTTATTTTTTTATTTATTTATTTTTTTTTTGGGTTTTCTCCGGTACCGGGAACCGAACTCACGACCTTGCGCTTGCCAGGCAGGCGCTTTGCCGCTGAGCTAAATCCCCAGCCCCCTGAAAACTGTTTTAAAAGTCATGATTAATTCATTCTAGCTGTATAGTATGGAAGGTAACTATTAAAGTATAAATATCTCTAAAGAGACGTCAACCTCTTCCTTATTTTCATGATTTGATACTGCAGATCATCTATTCTTTTTCTAAGAACAAATAAAGAGAATCAAAGAACTAAAGTTTTGGTAGATGAAAAGGAAAATAAACAGGTCCTTAATACCAGAATGAGAATGATACTGAAGACAAACGTGTTTGTCATTTTGTCATTTTTGTTCTTTGGCTTTTGAGACAATCTTTTTTTCTTTCTTTCTTTCTTTTTTTTTTTTTGTCTTTTTGAGACAGGGTCTCGCTATGCAGTTCAGGCTGGCCTTGAGCTCACTTTGTAGCCCAGGCTGGCCTCGAACTCGCAATGATCCTCCTGCCTCAGCCCCCCAAGCTGGCCTCCAACTCACTGCGATCCTCCTACCTCAGCAATAACCCTGAATATAGTATACTACTCTGGATTTAGCAGAAAGTAAAAAGTATAAATTTTTTACCACATCAGGCACAAGAGAAAATCTCAAATCCAAGGTCAATTCCCAAAAGACACTTGAGCTGTCCACTAACGTGGCTGTCCTGCACAATGTGCCAGTAGAATGTTTGCACTTCAGGGAAGCTGTTGCTAAGTGAACACGTAACAAAGGTTGAAGAAAGAAGAACCAGCCAGGTGGGGTGGCACATGCCTATAATCCCAGCACTCGGGAGGCCGAGGCAGGAAGACTGCCATGAGTTTGAGGGTAGCCTGTGCTAAATAGTGAGTTTAAGACCAACCTGAACTATATAGTGAGTCCCTGTCTTTAAAAAAAAAGAAAAGAAAAGACAAAGAAAGAGAGAGAACTGCTAAAGTGATATGGTTAGACGAGTGGTTCCTTATTTCCCTAATGTATTTTTGATGACAAAATACGCATATACTTCAAATATTATCTACTTTTCAAGAAATACTGATATACTGAAATACTAACCTCACTTCAAGGTCTGACTTAATTGGTTGACACCATGGTAAAAATGTATGCTTTTAATTTTTATTAGTACATGTTTGCAAAATAATGATTACAGTCCTTGTGAGGAGTTGGTATGCCCTCCCTCTGTACTTGCAAGCTATTTTTGTTTGCTTGTTTTGTTTTTTGAGACAAGGTCTCACTATGTAGTTCATGCTGGTCTTGAACTTACTGTGTAGCCCAAGCTAGGCTCAAACTCCTGGCGATCTTCCTGCCTCAGCCTCTTGAGTGCTGTGATTACAGTTGTGTGCCACCATATCCAACTTGTCTTCAGTTGTCTCCTTCCCTTTTCAGAAGATCTATCTCCCTATTTCCTATTATCTATCTTTTATTTTACTGTTTCTGTGTATCTTGGGTTTCTCATGTAAGAGAATGTATACAATATTTGAGCTTCTGTATATGATTTATTTCACTTAACATTATGATCTCAATTTTCATCCATTTTCATATAAATGACTCAACTTCATCCTTTTTTATGGCAGAGTAGTTCTCTGTTGTGTGTAAGTGCTGCATTTTCTTTATCCATTCATCTGTTGATGGATATATAGTCCACTTCCAAGATTCAGCTATTTTACTTTGTGCTACTGTAAACATGAATTTGCATGCATCACTGTGATATGGCGTCTTTAACTCCTTTTTGAGGAGGATACCCAAAAGGGAAATAGCTGAGTCAAAGAGAATTTCTAGTTTTAGCTTTTAAAGAAATCTCCGTACTAATTTCCACAGTGGTTGTACAAGTTTACGTTCCCACTAACAGTGCAGGAAGGTCCTTTTTCCCCTCCAGCCTCTTAAGTAGTTGGCAATATTTGATTTCTTGATGATAGCCATTATTTCTGGAGTGAGGTAAAATCCCAATTTGCACTTCTCTGATTGCCAGAGGTTGATTCTAGGTGTCTGCTGGCAGAATTTTGGGGGTCTTCTATGTAGAGAATCACATCATATACAAATAAGGATAATGTGACTTCTTTTCCTCTAGGTACTCCTTTTGTTTCTTTCTCTTGCCTGATTGTTCTGCCTAATGTTTTGACTACTATATTTAACAAGAGTGGTGATACTGGACATCCTTGACTTGCTCCTGGTTTTGTTTGTTTTTTGTTTTTTGAGACAGGGCATTGCTAGGTAGTTTAGGCTGGACTTGAACTCAAGGTGACCTGCCTGCCTCAGCCTCCTGAGCACTGGGATTACAGGCCTGAGCCATCATGCCCAGCTTCTTCTTACCTTTACTTGGCTCAAACTTGTTCTGTAGAGCTTGTTTCTCTTCCTACCTTTAATAAATGTAAAACCTTGCTACCTTTTATGTTTGTCTTGAGCAATACTTGTGTAGGAAAGGACCTAGAAACCACCTGCAGAAGGAGGCTACAGTATCCCCAAATCCAGTAACACTGTGACATTTCAAAGATATATTTAGCAATATCTCCTAAAGCCAAATATGTCTACCCCAGGTCTCAGTAGTTCAAATCCATCCATCACAGACTGTGGCCACGGTCATGTTCAACACCCAGTGCAGAGTTCAGGAACGGAAGCAAACTTTTGCCCAGTGCTTCTGTTCATGAACTGAATTATTCATGAACAGAAGCATTTGTGAACCCAAGAATTACCATACTACTTCCACATCATTGCCTATTATTGGATTATTCAGAGTTTTTATATCTTCTTTTATATCTTGTGTTAATTCTGACGTATGTAGTCATCTATTTATTCTGGATTCTCCAACTGATTGGAGTACAGGTTCTTGAAGTAGTTACTAATAATCTTCTGTATTTTTGTGGTGTCTATTGTAATTTTACCTTCTCCGTTCCTCATAGCATTGATAATGTCTCCCCCTCCACTTTTTTTGTAACATGGGCTAAGGACTTGTCTATTTTGTTTATTCTTTCAAACAACCAACTTATTGGTTCATTGTTTCTGTGTGTACTTTAGTCTCACTTTCATTAATTTCTGCTCTGATCTTTATATGCATATTATAATTTAGATTCTCTTCCATTTACTTAACTATGCTTCATGGGCTTAGCATATGGTCTATTTTGGAGAAAGTCCCATGTGTTGCTGAGAAGAATGTGTATTCTATTTTTATTGGGAAGGTCCCTCTAGATATTTATTAAGTCCATTTCTTCGAAGGTTTGGCTCAACTCTGATGTATTTTTTTTGTCTAGTCAATCTCTTTGTCATAGTGGGATATTGATGTCCTCCACTATAGTTGTGTTGATATAAATAAATATCATATAAATATGATCTTTTATGTCCAATAGTGTTTGCATTATGAAGTTGGGTGCACTGGTGTTCAGTCCATATATGATTATAATTGTTGTTTCATCCTGTTGAATTGTTCTCTGAACTACCATAGAGTGACCTTATTTACCTCTTCTGATCAGTTTGGTTTTTTTTTTTTTTTTTTTTTTCCATTCTACTGCCTTAGCTTTTTTTTTGGTCTTTTTGAGAAAGGGTCTTGCTATGCAGTTCACGCTGGGCTTGAGCTCACTTTGTAGCACAGGCTGGTCTTAAACTTGTTAATAATCCTCCTGTCTCAGCCTCCTGAGTGCTTTTCTGATCAGTTTTGCCATGAAGTCCACTTTGTCTGAAAATAGGATAGTTACTCCTGTTTGTTTTTAAGTTTTCATTGCATGAAGTATTATTTTCCATCCTTTTATTGTTAGTTTGTGAATTTCTTTTTGGATTAAATGTAGTTTTTTATATACAACATATCATTGTTTCCTGATCCATTCTGCAAACCTGTCTTTCAATTGGGAAAGTCAGATCATTCACATTATGAGCTATTACTGAAAGGTACTGACTTATTCCTGTCATTGCATTATTTTCCTGTTAGTGATTCCCCTTGTCCCTCCATCTGCTTAATGCTCACCCCACCTGGTGTATTGATTCTATTAAACTTTGTGCACTGTTGAACTTCATTGTCTCTTTCTAGGATATCCTTGAGAATTTTTTGGAGTACTG